AGACACTTTGATCAACAGCTATCCATTGCTCAAAGTGAGCATATATTTGGGGAAACAAAGCACAATCTCAGCTGCTAATCCTCTGAGATTTAGTGCACATTCCCCTAGAAGCCTTTGATCTCTGGAGTGCATCCATACAGCTGACTCCAGACGTACTGCACACTCACATGCACGAAACAGATTTGCACATACATGAGTGACAGTTAATCATTGCACGAAACAAATTCGATTCTGCACTATTAAATTAAATACAAGTGGTATGCAATGTATAATGGCTGAAATACACAGAGAGATGTAGAGGAGATACTCTAACGCAAAAGAAGAGAAACGTGGATGTTAAAATGTCTGCATGTCACTAGAGCTTCACCTTACTCTAAACCACTATCATTTTTTCACAGAACTCCTTTCCAGAAGGCACCATTCAAAGCAGCTAAGAGTTATCCGCTCTGCTTTGTCAAACATGAGAAACTCCTCCAGCTTTTAGTAATCTATGTGACATACAATGCCGGATGTGACATTAAAGCCACCTGCACGTCCTGGAACCTCCCAGTCCCCCAGCTACATTGACGTCAGCCCAAGACTTCTCTACTGCATCTTCTCATGGGAATCACAGAGCCCCTCTACGGCCAGGTGCTACCCCTCCTCCCCAAAGGCCAAAGCTTTTCTTTCTCTTCAGAGTGTGGCTCCAAACTTTTCTCCCAGCCTCTTCAAAGAGCAACAACAGGCCCTCGGTCCCTTGGGAGAACAGAGGGGGTAGAGCCCGGTGGGAGAGGGGCATACGTCACACACAGCACACACAAGAGGCCAGCCGGTGGGAAAAGAAAATGCACAGGGAGAAGGAGAGAAAGAGGAAGAGGAGTCTGCATTTGAAAGGTGCTTTCAGATCCTAGACAAGAGCCCTTGCTTTGTGGAAACGACAAGGAGAGAAAAAGCACAACAGCAGAAGCGAAAGACGAACGGGGTGCAAAACCTGCCATGTCTTTTATCAGACTTGGAGGCTGAGGGAATGCGTTTAAAAGCTTTAGGCCTACTTCCAAAAAAAAAAGAAAATTTAAAAATCAAAGAACTGGCAACCAACTGCGAGATAAGGGGGTTGGGGGCAGAAGCTTCACTGTGATTCACTTTTGAGCTGCATTCTGTCGTCAGATGTACCTTTGCTTTTTTAGTCTACGGTTCCATACATGTTGATGGAGGCTCGGTTTGAAAAACATCAGCTTTGGAATTGTAAGAGCTGCGGCTTGGGAAGACTGGAGGTGGCTTTTACTCCACCGTGGGGGCTGGGCTTCACAGCGGAGGAGTAGTCATCAGTGTCACTACAAACACCTCCCCGCCTGGCCCACTACAAATGCAGTCGCATTTCATCAGCCACAACCAACACAGGGCCACAGGGTAAACGCAAGAAACAGATGGAGACTAGGAGGGGAGAAAGGAAGAGGGGAGAACCAGAAGAGGGGGAGGGGGATTTTAAGAATAGAAAGGGGCAATTTTGTGAGGAATAACCATTAAAATAGATTCTGTACTTTTGATACACTACAAATAATGGACTCTTCTGTCATCTGACGCCAAGAGAAGCAACCCAATAAACTAACAGAAATTTGAGCTTCCAAGTCGTCTTTCAAGTTGTGAAAACCTTCCCCACTATCAATGCCCATGTCAGCAACTTAATTCTACAGCACATAACATATCAAATTTATGGGTAGGTGTAGACACCACGTTGTACACAGGGGAGAAAGTGTGCCCGGGCTCACATGACCTGGATATCATGTGTTGAGACCCACAGATCCACCTGCCCACACCACTCACTCAACGTCTGCCGAGCTGCAAACAAACGGTGCATCTGACCACAGAACTCATGAATGAGTCTGCGTGGAAACACCATTAAGCCTTCAAGTGCGGACTTGTCTCAGTCTATCGGCGCATACTCGACCACAATTTAAATTTAAAACACTTAACGAAGACAAACCCCTAATGGGAGCAGCTCTCCCAAAGAATGACTTGTATGAAACCAGCATTGTTCCTATAGGGAATATGGTTTGGAAAAGATCAGATCAAAAGAATTCCAAGCGCAGACTCCCTACTGCTGACACCCGACCCACATTCTTCTGGACCCTGGTTCAGCTGGGAGGGGGGCTCAAAGAACAGCAGCTATAAATAACTGTCTCACCAGGTATTCTATACACTATAGACAGCTTTTTAAAGCTAAGAGAGTTGACTCACATTCTCTCACCTAAGTGGTTAGCTTCTGTTTTTGTCTGAGAGCACCATGGGGTCGCGCTTATAAAAACAATTCACCACATCTCTTTGATCATTTATAATTTTATCTCTTGAAGTGAAATGACTTTCACAAGTGGAATTTAATGCATAAATGCTTTGGAAACTTTGGGAAGCAAAATTAACAAGTAAAACATCAGCCTGCAATGCTCTAAGACACAAAAGTTTCAAGTACAATATTTAGCATAACGATTACACCACACATGACAAATGTAAAAAAAAAAAAAAAAAAAAAGAAATACCAGTTTACGGGTTTTTTTAGGCTTTAGGAAAGGTAGAACGTCTCGCCGTAGCAGTGCAGATGATCAGCACACTGGCAAGACAACCATTCAGCTACAGAATATGTTTTTAAATCAACCATTTAGGCAGCCTGTGTAAGAAATGAAAACATTCTGAAGTCCTATTTTTTTACAACATTACCCTGCAGTAGCGCTGACACCGTGTTGAGAGGGAAAAAGTGGCTAATGCAACCAGAACTCTCTGCCACATGTGAATAGACTCAACAGGGAAATGTGCCATTCAAAAATCAAAATCTGAATGCCAAAGTCCTTTATATTTCATTGTTGCAATGTCAAAAGCTTCATGTGTGAACAAGATTTTATGTACCCTCTGTGCATTGCTTATACAAACCACGACTTCATAAATGTGTAGAAATGTGTTCTATGACACTACAAATATGGCACGAAGCAAGCAAATGGTTTATTTTAAAATGAAATATTGCAGATTTTGGATCACTTTAAAAATCACAATAGAAAAATGGAAAAGCACCCAAATAAATATTGATGCTGAAAACACCTTTCTTCTTTTATTCATTTTCCCTGTGAGCTATAAAAGCCATTAGACACCCAGACTTGAATTATTTATAGAAACCGAGCTACACTAACTCCAAATTTTTCAAAAACACCCAGCCCTTTCAGAAGGGGCTTCTGTTGCATCTTGGGCCAGCTCTTCACACACCATTGTTGCTGGGAAAAGAAGCACATGAATATTTCCAGGAACAAAGTAATGAATGTTTGTTTTGTTGTAATAATGTATGGTAATTGGATGGTAACATGGTAATATGGTTTTAAATGCTTTAATTGCACAAAGTGCATGAACTTGCTCAACACATAAGCAAGCATATAAATGGCATGGCCTTTCTGCTGCAGCAGCGCTGACTTGCTCTAGAAAATAAACACCGTTTCAGGTGTTTCTCATAGAGAAAGAAAATGGGCTGGAGACACAGAGCCTGCACTGAGTGGGATCCTGTTACTATATGAAGAAGTTTACTGCAGCTTTGGGAGCATGTCAGGATTAGTAACTTTGACACCATGCGGGAGCAACATGTAAAGCCAGTCCCGACCTCCCAGCGCTGGACCACACTCGATCGCTCGCACGACACCTCAGACCGGGACTTTCATAAAAGGATCACTACAGTAGTTCTCTCATCACTAACCCACCATGCAACCCCAGGGCTGCCCTTCAGGCAAAGCAAAGCTATCAAAAACACCTTGCCGCAGAAGACTAAACCATGATGGACTTTAGACCTGACTTAGGTGGGAATCAGCAGATATTTCAGTTGCTTTCCCCAAGTTTGATGTTTTCCTTCTCTTCACCAGCATACCGATAAACCCTCATACCAACGGCTCCATTTTTAAAGAATCCAACCAAGCATGTGCAGCTGTGTCTTGCTTGCATGATAATCAGTTTGAACGCAAGGGATAACATGACCTTTGCACGCAAAATGATACATGCTGTTAAGACCAAAAGTTTTATCACAATAAAAAGCAAAGGAGAGGGAAATGAAATAAGATTGACTGTTTGTGTCACCGCATGCTACTGATGATAGGATTGTTTTTTCAAAAGGAGCTGTCAAGTATTTTAAAAGGAAAATCAGGCCACACAACATCACAACAGAATGTTAAAGTCTATGCTCTAGTGTGTTAAAATGCGAGAGATCCTGGATTCTGGGCTGCATTTAATAGATAGATGCATTTCTGCTCAAAGTGTCTGGCTCGTGGGTGGAGGAACTGATTTTCCTTTTGTCTTGATGGGCTCCGATTCCTCAAACATGCTGCCTTTGAGGAAAGCATCGCTAACCAAAGAGGCTTAAGGCTCCTCTGAAGCAATTCCAAAGGATTTCCTCACTTGACAACAACAGCAAAGTGTTTACGGCAATGCCAAAATACAAAACAAGCATGACCTCCAACGTTTCTCCCCAGCCTTTACAATCCACACTTGTCACCAGGCTGTCACACTGCAATGCTTTCAACTCAGGTTTGATGTTTTGTTACCTTAAAAATAAGTGCATGAGATGATACCAACATTTGTTCCCTACATGAGTAGATGAGAGGTCTACCAAAGGACTGTTCAAATCCATCCTTTCATTTTGTCACAGTGAAACTGAAAAAAAAAAAAGGTAGGACTGTAACAGACACAAAACTGATGTGTTTTGCTGTGGCAGCTTGTGTTTTTTTCAGTTAGGCTATGTGTAAATGTTCAACTCTGTGAAAGCTTTGAGAAAGTTTGTCAAGACTTTGAGTGCATTAGAACGGGTAAAACTTCAGCTAAAGACTAAATGCAGCCTCATGACATGCAAAGACACTGGTGAAAAGCCTTTGGAGTTGGAAAACCTCGTCCTAATTATGCGAAATGCGCACGAACATCGTGAGGAGACATTTCAACAAGCTTGTGTGATATGCTATTTCACCATAAATACGTTAACCTCGTGGGTATAGCCTCGTACTCACCCGTGTAGTCAAACCGCAGTTATTCTTGTGGTGACAGTCCCGTTGGTCGAGGCGAGAGCTCGTGCAATAGTATTTCTGCTTCACGAGCCAGTCATCGATTCCCTTTCTCGCCAAACAGGCATTGACTACAAAACTGTCGCCTGAAACCAAGAAGCGCATTATTAGCGAGTAGTACAAACTGATTTCCCTTGCGCTACACTCATGTTTTCCGTAAGCGGTCCATCTTCAAAGAGTCAGACTCCGCGCTGCTGCTCCGAAGAGCCGTGAGCTGACTCTGAAACTGTTCTGCTGTTCTCAAACTGACCGAAATATGAGACTGTATCATATGCGATAAGAAATTAAGCACACTCACCTTCTGGGCTCTCCCTCGGTTTACAAATAGCGGCTTGAGAGAAAGAAAGTAAGAAGACAATGAACACTGTTACTCGAAAGTATCGCAACACAAGAAGAAGAGCTGTGGCTGTGATTTCTCTCAGGAATAAGAAACCTTACCATGTTTCGAGTGCAGTTTACCCATTTCTATGCATCGAGTTGGAGTTGAAAACCATCAGAAGAATATAATCCAAAGAGGGGGAAAAGAAACGGGCTACGGTATCCACACAGAGGAGCGTCCGTAGAGACCGTGAGCAGACTGCGCTCAGTACAGGACCGTACAACTGGAGAGCCAAACGAGCCTTTGATCCAGAGCGCCGCCACCGACAGACACACACAGGACGACTTCCTGTCTACTCTTTCGGAATAAAATACTAAAGTGATTGGAAACATTGGCTTCACTAAATAACGCTTAGCAGACCATAGACTAAAAGAGCGAAACGAAATATGACATGGGACCAACTACTGTTAGGTTTTTGAAAAAGAAAGAACAAGTAGGATGTTTACGGAGCCTTACCTCTAGTAGCCTAGTCTATTAAACAATAGACTGAAACAACCAACCGATCAGAAACAACCCCGCAGCAGCCCATTTCCTATCAATTTCCTATTTTTATTAAATATCTTTATTATGAAACGTAGCCTAATGTTTGTTTCTCCTCAAAGGGCAGAACATGCGTCAAAAAAATCTTAATTTCAACCGCCAGCAAGCAACTGCATGTAAACGCACTTTGTCATTGGTTGCCAAGAAATCAGGTCTGAAGAAATTCACGGGTTCCTGCAGGGGTCCCCGGACATTAGCAGGTTTAGGACCAATTCCACCTCAGCCCAAATGATTCCAAATCACATGGTGTGGTTTGTAATATTTAATCTGAGAGCAAATAAGATCAGCAAGACACCACAGGAACCTACAAGAAAGTTGTAAAATGTTTGCCTCAGTGGTGCAGGACTGATAATTCCTCTGATTAATTAAATCACCTAGGCTACCAACATCACAAAGCATTAGGTAGGCCTAGGGGATCTTGTCCATAATTTAGTATTAATTAACACCCTTGATAGAGCTTGTCAGCATACACTTAGATGATTTGTACTGCTCTTTTTAGTAATAAACCATGCCAACAATAATCATTTTGGATGGGCCTCCTGCGGACAAAGTCATATGATAGGCTACTGGGTTCTGTGGACAGTGTGCATCTGTCTGGGGTCTTTGACATGAGAATCACAAATCACTGTCTTATTGGACTGCGGCAGCAGATGAAAGCAGGCTGAGATTCTTTTGAAGTCTTCAATTATATAATAAAAGACTGAATCCACTGTGCCATGTGTCATGCCAGGCTGCCAGTGGCCCAATGCGACGGTAATAAATAACACACTGTAGGCAGCATCTTGTGAGAAAGCATTGGTAAAGGAGACACCACATCAGTGTTAAATAGTTATCAGTGCATGGTCTTATCATATTCAATATCTGACTGGTGAATTATCTCAGATTAGCAACATTACACTTTTCACTGAAATGCAATGAAAACCAACCCTCAAAGATAAATCAGCAATCAATTAAAAATTACCCATAAAAAAAGCACATTTCTGTAGGCCTACTCGAAACAAGAGAAAACATTGATTTATGATCTATTCCCACTGCTATGAATTTAGCTGATTTGTGTTTCCTTTGTCATTTATGCCCAAAGAACCTTAATTTCACAGTAGTGTTGTTTGAAACTAAAATATAGCCTAACAAAAATACTTTTTATTCATTGCCGCAGCATTTCCAGAAGATTTTTGGTTACAGTATTTATGTCATGTAAAGTGTTAAGTGTCATGTGTTTCAAATCTCAAATAATACAATCTGTGAAACAAGAATTAAAACAATTGTCCTTGATGTAGTGTAATTTGGTTTTATAATATCACTGCAAATGTTTCACATAACAATGCAACAAATAAGTGCTTCTTCAAAAACAGTAAATACATTTAGACAATACACATACACAATACACACATTTTCATAGGGTTGTTTCAAGGGCTGTAAGGTGGCACTGCTTATAAGGTAGCATGAGTTATCAATGAACTTATAAAAATTGTGCTAATTGGAACTGAAACTGGATGTCTAATTTTAGAGCAAAAGTCATCTCTTGACATTTCTGTGTCATGGTGTATTTTTCCTTTAAAGTCTAAAAACAGCAGAGCTGGCTTTCTTCAATTTTAAGCCTGGTTTTCCCGACCTGTATTCATGTGCCTCCATCTATATATCCATCCATCCATCCACCACATGGTACCAGCTCAATTTGCCTCCAATCTACTCGCCTTTTTTGGTTTTCCATCAAGGAAAAGTTGCACCTGCTACCTGGTTCTTTTTTTCCCGTATCACCTCCGTTGAGGTTCCAAGTGAACTGAGGTGTTACTAAAATGTGACGTGAAAACACAGCAGACTACTAATTGGTCAGAGAGAATCGTCACTATTCACTGCATCATCATTTTGCGAGCCTGACAGATGCCAGCAACAGAATATATTTTTATATTTTATAAATAATAATTTTATAATAATTCTATATTATTTTATATTTTACAATTTTCATATTCTATTTCATCACTAAATCCACTAATGAGAGGTGTTGAGGTGAGAAATCAACTGTGTAGATTTTGAATATTGACAGTTTTATCTGTCTTTCTGAGTAATGTTGTAGTAACGTTTTAACTTAAATCAAGAGACTGATGTGTGTGTCGCACTGATCACTACTTCGCGGCAGTTGTATGTGGTGTTGCTATGACAACCAGCTACATTGAGGGGTACTATCTCTGGGTACTATCTGCAATGGAAACGGAGGACGTCCACACCAGCTGCATATCAGAATTGATCTACATCTGTATTAAAAGGACTAAAAATGCACATCTAGTGGCCATCCTACGCAGTTGCAGACGATTTGGTTAATACTACAAAGAACCACACAAGAGAGTTTTTTGCATGGACCGACAACATGGTGGAACTGTTACTGAAAGGAAGATGTCAATACAAAGAGACAAAAAAGTGGAAACAGACTGTGAGTAAAGTAAATACGGAGACATGCACAGTACAAGTGTATACGCATTATTTGCACAGTACAAAATATTTTACTAACACTTAACACTCTCAGTAGATTTGTGCTAATGCTTTGCATGATTTATAAGACCCAATAAGGAAGCCAAATGTCAGTGTCTGCACCATTGTTTTTAAAGTCCTCTCTTTTAACCTGTCTGCACTAAAACGCGGCCCCCGAGTTTTAAAACAAAAACAGAGTCAGCGGCATTTTCACTTCTCTGTTTTAGGTCTTCGGATTTGCCGTTTTAGTCTGGACCGGAGGTGCAAACGTAGCAAAAGGTCTCCATTTTAAAACGGAAACATAGTAGTGTGGATGTAGCCTGAGTCAGCTAACCAGCTGCCAACCCCCACGCCTAGCTTCCCTGAATCCTAGACCTCTTCGCTGCTCAGCTCGATAGAGCTGCCACTAGCCCTGCCTCTGGTCCCCAGTGGATGGCCTGGCTGACTCCTGCTCCTGGTTCCCAGTTGGTGGCCAACTGCATCCAGTTCCCTGGCCACTAGCTCCTGAATCACTCCTCCAGACCCCTTTAACCCCCCCAGCTTGGTGTTCCTGACTCGCTTGTTGGGACATCTTGAATGCGCTCCTTAAGTGGATGGTCTGTCACAGTTTGCTCCTCAGTCACTCTCTTTTCCCACACTCTCAGTCCCATCCCTCTGCATTAAACTCTGTCCCTGTGTCTAGCTTCCCATCCTCTAGCAGTCCCCCGGATGCCTCCTGACTTTTCCTCTTCAATACAAGAATAAACTTGTGTTGTGCAGTTCCGGGAATTCAAACACACAATGTGCGCTTATCCATTTTGCCTTCCATGCCTGGCTAGCCAATGCGTTCTCATCTCAGTGTATCATTACCAACGCTTTCAGATAGCGTGACAAAGCATAATTATTTCACACTAAAGGTGCCCTTCAGCATTGCTACGACGCCGCAATACAAAGGAGGCTAACCTTACCTGCTAGCACCTTGGCCGTGAGGCCCATGTGCACAACTGTAGGGTTAGCCGGTCAACATCTGATGGTTAGCCGGTCAACATTTCTGAGGGTTATGGGGCTTCTGGGGGCTGTCAACACCTTTAACACGAACGTAGCTAGCTAGCACTTCCAGTCTGTACGAGACTCCCCAGAGCATCTCATACACGCATCCACGCACCGGCTGCGTCTCACACAGACACTGAAGGGTACCTTTAGCGTCAACTAACTACGCTTTGTCACTTTTTCTGAAAGTGTTGGCACTGGATGCCCTGAGATGAGAATGGTCTGGACTGGCTGCCTCATTTCTAATGGCCACGCGGGGGATATGTCATAGTGGGCAGCTTTGCTTGACACATAAATAATATAATAAATAACAACTGATAAAAAAAAAAGACAGTATGTAGCCTACACATATGTAGGCTAAAAATGTCTGCCAAAAATAGCAAACGAATATAAGCATAAAGCCAGAAGTAATGAAATATCAGAATATTTTAGGTATATGTTTATGTTTATTGCTACCAGTTCAGCAGTGATAGCCTGCAATTTATTATCAGGCCTGTAAAAAATGTAACAATGCACTGAAACCACCGCCAAGCCGTGGCTTAGTAGCCTATTTGCAGTACTGACGTTACTGTATTTGTAAAGAGCACAATCCTGTTTTAGATTATATCCTAATTATAATTTGAACTACAGTAAACTGTATTTTATATACAGTAAGTATTACTGTATAGTGTATTTGAATTATACACAATAGAGTAATTTAATTTGTACAGTAAGGAGTGTAGGTGAACACACAAGTAACCCATGCTGACCAATCACAGTTCTTGCGGTCCCCACGTAGTGTCTCTGCCGCTGTAGCATTTTTGAGGAGACTGACGCACGTCAGTTATATGTATGTAACCCCTTAACACACAACTGTAAATCCAGCTTGAGTCTTCATAGAGTTTAACACACCATCTACCTGCAGAAGAGGACCTATAAATTCCTGCACATAGTTAAGCAGCTAATAGCCAAAGGTGAGATATGCAAATACAACTGAGTTGGGATGATTTCTGGGGAAGTCAAGATCAAAAATGTAAGCTGGTCCCAATTTTCAGGGAAGGATTTTCACATCTTTAAGGATGTGGCTATACACTGGACACATGTCTCTAATGCATCCCTTCAGTTGCATTTCTAGTAACAGTGGTTTCAGCATCCTGACTCTATCATCACATGTTGTACCAAGAGAAATGAGGCTCCCCTTTGAACTAGTCTGCCACAGACACACAGATGAGCTTGTTATT